ATTATCGATATTAGTCTGTTATTAATAATAAATTTGATAATTCCTCAGGAAGAAGCATCATGCGACAATAATTGATGATTATTCCTAGAACCGTTTCGACCCCCGTTTAGAGGTTCGTAGGTTTGTTTTAAATCACCGTAAATTAATACAGCAGGGTTGTATTATTCATGGGCGTGTTACATTTCTTGAAATATGTCGAGGTTATTCATTCGGTACGCAGTTTTATTTACGCGTTTGCGTGTGCTTTCGGAATTGCGGTCGACGAAACAAACGATGCATCGCGTACGCGTAGTACGACTCGAAATATTGTACGTGTTATGCCACTCGTACCGAGCGGACCGTTTAGCCGGGAACACCGATAAAATCTAGCCGCACAGGATTGCGTTAATTCCCAGCAGAAAATTAATTGTTCCGCTTTCCTCAAATATTTCACGTAGCCTGCGAGAAAACGCCGGTCTCTTCGACCGAGTCGCGTATCTTCTCCTTCCCTCGCGAATTTAAATTAATATCGTGTGTTCTGTGTCGTTACAACTCGTAAATAACGACGTTTGTGGGGCTAGAAATTGAAAAAAAGAATATCAAGAACGATAACCACGCGATTCCGTGTATTTCACGTATTCCACGCTGTGGCGCATAAATCTAGGGAAATCTAGTTACATGGAATATCGGTCGATCAACGTTAAACCGGTATCACTCGCCATTTAAACATCATCCGCCTCGTTTTTCCTGCTTTTCTTATACGATGCGACATTTTCGACGATTAAACACGTTGGTTCACGAATCGTAAAAAATTTCCGGTGTGCCAACATGACCTGCGCAATTAATCCCATTTCCGACCCTAACTAGCAGATATTCCTTTGAGCCCTTCGTAAACACGCTTCAGCCGACGATGGCTCGCTTGGGGCTAGCGCTTCGGTAAATTAGCGTTAATTAAACCATGAGTTTTTAGCCACTGTCTGGTCCGACGCGAATACTCGATGACAACGTACAACTTTCCGTATATACCAAGTGTCAAACGTTGGACGAAACGAGCTACGAGGAATATAAGAATAAAGTGGCACCATGACAGACAGCTTGAATGACGAAACCGTTGTCTCCTCGACCATACCAAAGACGAACCTAATTGTTCCAAAGGCTCTCGAGACTCTTCCGAAACGATCGAATTATTCGAATAAATATCGACTAGGATACGTATCTCGCTAATTCTCCAATTACTTATCGAAAACGCGCTGACACTTGGAATTCATTGACCTCATCCGCAAGCAAATTTTACAATCAACTTAACAAGTCTTCTATGTCACTTTAGCGAACGTATCAGTTAATTGAGAACCGCTATGTCTTCTTCACGTTGGATTAAGCGTATTCACATGGATTCGCACGACCACGCGTGCAATCGCCTCGCAACGAGAGGCAAGGATTATTTTCGCCCTGCGATTCGTCTTCTCGTTCTTCCACTCGTTTCTTCACGGACGAACGAAAAGCTACGACGAAAACGGCCACCCAAGGATATCTCCTTACGCCCCATCCGCCGGAAATATCGAATGCGAGCCGCGGGATTATTCGAATATGCATAAGCGATGCGTGAGTGATTCATAAGTAACGAAGGAACACCGGTGACGGTGAATACATCAGCCGCGTACGAACTTGGTACGAAATTCGCGGGGGTAAATGCTTGGAAGGGTGGAAGAAACGGGTGTCGTACAGAGCACACGGAATTGATTTAAAAAGCCATGAAACAGCGAATTATCGAGCGAGCCACAGGCCGATCTTCGTGTGCACCCGCGTGCATTATTCATGAGGCCAGATTGCACGAGCTACTTATTACGCGAAAGTACTTGCAGCAGCTTTTAATGCTTAGACGGGATACGTCGAAAGCAGCTCCGGCTAGCGAGTTATTTCGATTATTACCGTGATAAGCGCGGCACAATAGAGCGGTTAAAGTGCACGACGCACGTAATTCTCTTAAAGGTCTGTAATTAAAGCGTGCAAGTGCCCGTTCGAATCCGAACGGACGTGGAGGTGCACAGCGGGAAGAATACTTTCAGGCGAAGGGAGGTTTCTGATATTTCCGGTTCACGGTTCATCGAGATAGACGAGTCGACGGGCCCGGAAATGCCGTGAAAACGCTATTACAACTCGTTTCATGGATCGTCGAAATTGGGGGAAAAATGGGAGGGCTTGGGGAGGGGGAAAAAATGATCGACAGCGCGTCGGTGAATCGCGAGCGCGAGACAAACGCATTCGTTTTCGGGGCGAGGAAAAAAGCGGGAACGCGTGTCGCCGTGGGCGATTTGCACAATTTGTCAGTGGCAGCTGGATGGTACGCGAAAGAGGAAAAGCGTCGACGTCGTCCCGCAGTATTTGCACGGCTGCCGTTTTGTAAGAACGAATTTCATTGCGGCCATGAATATTTACAGCCGCGAAATGTCCGTTGTCGAGAAGTCGGGAAACAATGTCATTGGTCGATGGTCTTGCAATCTACGTGGGTGCTTTTAAGGGAAAATCGCGAAAACTCGTCGAGCCCTTGGTAAAATTCGCGATGGATCGGAACGAGAATAAGACCTCGAGTAATTTCCAGACTAGATGATAGTTTCGATAGAGCAGCGAGATACCGACGAAGGGAAGAGGAGCGTGTGAAATTTGATAGCATTTACATGGAAAGAAGAAAAAAATGTCGAAGCACAAGGGACAGCCGGGAAAGATGAGCGTAAAAACTTACCCCAGGAACTTTCATGCCCGTGCATAAAATATCCGGCGCGGGCTTTGAATTGTAAATTAAGATCGATGTCTGACGGGACTGCGTTTTAATAAAATGTAGGTTATTGTCGGAAATCTTTTATCGCTGCCGCGTGTTGCACAAGGCTATCTGATTATTCGTTACCCTTTCCTCGCTTTTCCTTTTTCCCTCTCGTATAATACGTATCCCTCATGACCGTGCATTTCCGGCAGAACGTGAAAAAGAGTCGGGAACTTTTCACCGACGTCCGCGAACGACAAACTCTATGCTATTGTCCCTTTATACGGAATTAATCTCGCGTTGCACAGTTAAAATGTACGTCCAATTTAAATCTGTCACTGGTACACGACGTGTTTGCACGGGGTCTGTTCGAAACGTTCCGACTGTATTGAGTGACGTTTATCAAAACCTTCCATTAATTCCGCGTTATTTATAAAAGTCGGGTAGCCATCGCGAACGGGTTGCCCGGTTTATCGTTCACGTCGATACCTGAATGAAATTCATTCTGGCTAACATAACATTATCAACGCATCTGAACGTCGGTTAGCCCGTTGCCCGGTCCATAATGCATGAACAATGCGATTCAGTGGCATTATCTGCGTCGACGATGCCCATTAAACGGACCACTTTTATATCTCTGACACTCGCGTGCAATCTCTCTTTCCTATCCTTGCTACCTTTATCACCGTCACGCGGCTGGGAAAAGCAGAAAAATTATGGCAAATGGCAGATGTTGCACCGATGTCAGTCAATCGATATCGGTGAAAAGGATTAAAGACGAATCTCGAAATTTTCAACGTTGCTGGAAGCTACGAGAACGACCAGGCGTTTAATACGATTTCGATGGAAATCGTGTTTCGACCCATTATCCGAATAGAAATAGAAACTCTACGGCATTGCTGTCCGATGGGGATGAAGCCGCTACTGGTTGCCGATTATGGAGGCAAATACCAAACATGACGGATCTCGTCGTTCTCTGTATCTCGTGGGAAAATGCATCGAATATACGTACATGCTTATTTTTACAGCGTAATTGGCAATTTCTTGCCTCGGTTCCGCGTTACACCGACTCGAGGGGAACGTCCTCGCTTTGTGGCGAAGGGCCATGTTAAATAATTAAGAACGTCCTGCGCCTCTGCAGGCAAGGGTAGAGGAAAATTAAAATTCAGTTACACATAATCTCTGCGCAAAAGTTTCGTTGTCAATTTTTCATGATTCCGCTTCAAAGTACCCCGGAGTGGTCGGCTTCCATCTTTCTCTGCCGTTCAACCCTGCTTCCACTTTTTGTTATTCCTTCCATCAGGGCCAATTAAAATCAGTGTCGTCGATTTATTGGATTACCTCGACCACGTTCCCAAGTTACGCAATTCAGAGTGCACTCGTGGACAACCTTTTGACAACCGACCCGAAAAGAGAGGAAAAAAGGGGCGGCATGAGAGTGGGGGAAAAATGTCGCCACAATGGAAGCAGAAAAAGCTCGTTTTGCGAATACTCGTGACAAAGGGCGCATCGTCCGTTTTACGGTCGATCGGAGAGATAATATCGTCCCCGTTAAGTATATTCCATTGTCTATCGAATGAAGGCGTAGCACTTGCGGTGACATTTTCATTTGTTTACAATCGTGACAGAGGGTACACGGTTTGTCGCCTCCTTTTAGAACGGCTCGTCGATTCACATATTAGATTAACGATTTAATGGATAACTCGATGAATGACTCTATGTATGCTACGTGTCGGTGCGTAAATTGAACAAATTATAGAAGAATGCCTTTGGTGTTGGTAGATGGACACCCTGTGCATGTGTACATAGTGGCACCGTTGCAATAGGGTCTGACGGTTCTCAGCCAATGCAGGTCCCCTTGCTTCAATTTTCTTACAGGTGTGATCAATGTCCTCCTTTTGTTAAGAAACTATAAACTTCAGAAATAACAAATCCAGGCATAAAATATTCGTTAACCAATTACGAAGTAGAAAATCACTTTACCGACGTATGCAATAACGATGATGGAACGTACGTAACGATTTTTCAATTTCAATAGCGAGGAAAGACGATGCCAGGTTCTTCTTCGGGCAAACATCGGTTGACAGGCTTTTAAACGATGATAAAATTCTTGATGGGTGACGACATGAGCATCCCTGAATCGCACAATGGCTAACTCGTCATAATTACGCTTGGACGACAAGTGTGCGTGAGCTTTCGTCTGTGTGGGTTAAGATCGCAGGAACACGATCATCTTAGTCCAAGATCAGTGTCTCGTGAAAAGTCGAAGAGTCCGCGCGTATGCACGGACATCATTTTCATTCGGTCCCTTTTCTTCGCTTTTCCTTCGTTTACTTCGAGATTCGAGAGTGGTGGAACGTATATACATGCTTTTATAACATGGTGCTCTTCGGCTGGATGCTTTGCATTTTTATCATAGGTGAGCAAAGAATTGCACGATTTACATGTATTCTGTATTTGTACTTATTATTTGTACGTCTTACTTCGGTACTTACGCACTCGCCTTTTATACCTATGCAGACCTTTCACACGTAAATTATACTAATTTAATTAATTGCTTTCTTCGATGGTATCGTTATTTAATATAAAATAATTGACTAAAAGTGACGCTGGTATAACCCGGATCTTAAATTCCAGAAAAATTTCACGATTTTTCAAAGAATATAGTTCGTCTAAAATATTTTATTTAAGGAAAAATATTTATGTACATGAAAATTGAAACATGAATCAGAAAAATAAAAAGCCCACGTAGGATTGACGATTTATTATATATCTCGAACAAAGTAGATACGAATGCTCTGTGTTACGTAATAACTGGGTGCAATTTCTGAATCGTATTATATCGAAACTGTATTTTATAAGCAAAGAGTTATACAAGGCTTACTCGTACATATAATCATTTCCCTATATCGGTAAAATTAATATTTATTTTTTCAATAACAGCCACTTTATGTACTCGATAAGTTGAGAAATAAAATATCTGAAAGCAATCGTGTTGACTGGTTTGATAATATTGATATTAATTAGCATTTATCTCTACGCACTTTTCAAATCAAAATGATTTACCTCTCAATCCTTTCTTTTGACAGCCCGTCCGTAGAAATTACAAGGACACCGTCGAAACGCGAAAATATACGCGAAAAGAAATTAAATTTCCATTTTCCACTGTCACTGGGTACCGTTTTAATCGAGACCGGCAGCAATCGAAACCAAATGCCTGTCCGATAAAATCTTTGACACGTGTACCTGGTCTGACGTGACAGCGCGTAGATTTTTCCATCGCGTAGAACACGTACACGCGAATTCACATTCACCCGTTAGGCTTGGAAAAAATAATTCAAACCAGTTGCACGTGAGTGAGACACGCGATTCGCGATTCTCGTTTTCCCTCGATCACTGGAAACGATCTATAGAACGCGCGGCAAGGGGGTCGAAATTTTCGCGTTATGGATCGACCACGATTTAAAAAGAATCGTCGCGTGCCTTTATCGACTTTGTCGATCTCTCTTCCGTTTAAATTCGTTAAAATTAATTCACCACGAATCGACTGTTTGGCCACTCGTTTCCGGTCCACTTCGAGGCAACGCGATTATTCGTTATTCGCGAAAGTGGTGAACGGCCACGAATGGCCGCTGCAAATTTGTCAAATCGTTCCTGTCACATCGTTATTTCGTTTTTGTAATCCCAAAGTCTCCGAAAACTTCCACTGTCCTATTTTCTTCCTATTTCACACCTGTCTCTTCTTTGTCTTCCTTCATTTGCATCCCCGGGAACAAGCAATCGAATCTTCGAAAATTTAACCCGATCCGGAGGAAAATAGCGAATCGTAGTTGGCGTTTGGTTATCCGACTATACCCTGTCGCACACGGTGTGAAAATTGCGCATACATAATGCATGGGGAATCTGCATTTAACTTTTCGCGAACTGCGTCGCGCGAAAACGCGGTTGCACCACTGCTCCGCGTTTCACAACGTGGCCCTAAAGTTAGGACTCGGATCAGCAGGGAACTTTCTCGATGGAATTTCTCTCGAGACACCGTGGAGTAATAAAGCTATCGAGGAATAAAGGACTATCGAGTACGAATTCGTCAAATTTACGGTTACAGGGAGTCGGGCTGCGACGAAAAATGGCTTCAAGAGTTATCCGACGACGGTGAAGACCTACGAGAACGACACGGTTTTGTTGCCGTGTTACGTCGAAGATCTTGGTAAGTAGCCTCGATAAATTTCACGCTTATGAATGATCATTGTTCTCCGTGAAATCCGCGGAAAATTGACCACTCGAAGAGCATTCCAGGTGCAGTCGATTGTCTACTAATTAAGGCTGGGAGAATCGAACGAGATAAATAATAACGATTCAGGTGTGCGTGGAAAGACCATGGAGAACTTCGCTCT